GGGAGCGAAGTGCTCTAATAGGGTAATATGGTACTACAAGGTCATTAAGATAAGATGGGGCCTGATTTCCTACTCTCCCAGAGTACTCCAAGCAGTGTATACAACATGCCTCATTCACCTCCACACACTTCTAAACTCAAGTGCAAACTAACCAACATTCACACATCGGACAACAACTTGGGGTTAGTATCTTGCCCAAGGATATTTGGCATGCAGACTGTGGAAGCCAAGGATCGAACCACCAATCTTCCAATCAATAGCTCCTTAACCACAGCCACACAGGTTATGGCAGTCCATTCTCCCTGAAGCACGGACTACACTGCCCATGAGGCTACATTCTTTAGGGCTCTGCCTGTAACACACTGTCTATTGCCTTCATATTAAATAATTGTTTGAATAATTTTTAAAAATATTTCTTCATGTCATTATGCAACTAGGGGTGTTATGGGCCGCAAGATTGAGACCCAGACATTAGAGCCTCTCAATGCGTGTTTTGTTTGGGTTTCCACCGGCATGGAATAACCAGAAATAGAGGCATAGCCTAATATATGAAACAGGAAAAGACCGCTGTGTAATCCATTTATTTCAACAAAGTAACTCTATTCTGAATACCACCCTTTCAAACGGTAACTGTAACAGAATACAGTTACTCATATTTTGTATTTTAAATACGTAACAGTGGTACATGTATTTCTTTACTCCCCAACACTGGGTACCATACCATCTTAACTAACTGGTCTACTGTAATCTTTTTACTAAAACTGCACAGAGTGGTGTCTAGACAGCAGAGCTCCTTAAGCTAATAGCTAATATTACAACAGTGCTCCACTGAGTGCTTTCAGATACTCAGCTTCCGTCTCGTACTTTAATGACTCTTATTAGTGATCCAGTCATGGTACACTGACACTGATGCTGTGCTGAAAATGTGACCAGTGATGTGGGAGTTGGTGTTAATGGTGATTGTTTTTATATTTATATAATCTGATTAATACATAATGATTATGACTCTTTTATTTTCATTCAGCTGTGTGATTTAAACTGACATTCAAATTCTAACACTTGAACTGGAGCCGTGTCTTGTCATCTTGCACTTTCAGTATAGTATTGTTTTTTGACTCTGTAATAATGAAAAAATAACTTACCTTTAATCTCAGTGTATTGTGATGGTGTCAGAGGCTAAATTGTTTCTCAAATGTGTATGAATTATATGCTGTGGAGACATGTGGCTGCTTACAGTGCTGTAAGAATAAACATGCAGATACACACAGAGACACTCATTCACACACAGTTCTGAAAAGTCTTAAACACGAAATAAGAATAGTTCTATAAAACCTAACACAAAAAAACAAAAACACAACAAAAAAGAAGTAACATGCATCTATGTTTTTTTTATTAGATGCTTTAAGCAAAATTTAGGCTTTTAACAATAATAAAGTACAGTGTGGTGATACTATTTTGCTGATTTGGCCACAAATATTATTTACATTTGGAAATTTGGATACAACTTGTCAGACTGATTTAAATTTAACCACTTTAGTATGAACAAAAATGTTGAATCCCCAAAGTAGTTTAGTAACATTTTTAAAAATATATATATATATTGTCCACCTTATTATTAACTTAGATTTAGTGATCACATAGAATACCTAAGCTTTTTCCCGCATAGAGAAATATGTGACACAAAAGGGGATAAGGACTGGTATTTATGCAGAGCTTTTTTTTAGTCTCCTTGAATTCCCAAAGAACTCTACACTACAGTGCACAAACATTTTATTCTATGCAAACAGTGCTGGAATTTCCTTAGCAAGAATCACAGGAAAATCATCAGCATTTAAGAAATTTTAACCATTTATGTTAATTAGAGTCATATTTCCTTGAATTTATAGTTTACATGAAAATGGAAAACATAGATTACATAATAAATTACACAAATTAAGAACTGAGTTCACATTTGTAGTTACACACCAATGGGTGGCACTTGTTTTCCATCTTTCCATCATTGAGATCTCATATAGTTCTAACTAGTAACTCAACAGCATTTTGTCACTAATCTGCATAGTTACAGTTGATGAAAATGTTAATTACCTGAGTTCACAGTTCCCTGGTTTCATGCAAGAAGCTGATTATCCCTAGCCCACAACCTTTTTACTGAATCCCCTGCCAGCTGCAGCAGTGTCTGCAGCTGAGGATTAAAAAAACATAATGGCATTATGCTAATGTTGTGATATTGCTAGATTGACATTTCTACTGATTGGGATTAGTGCTCCTATCCATTTTCCCACCCACACAGCAGTGGCTTAAAGTCTCTCTCTCTGCCATGAAAACATGCTTTTAACATTGTTGGTGTCAGGGGTAATTTATGGTGTTCCTCAAGTGGGCTTGTTTCAGTGCAATTAGTGTATTTTCTTTGTGTATTGAGTGCATGCCCTGAGCTGTCTGCCGTCTGGAGATGTTTGAGAGAAAAATAGGGCTTTCCTGTTTCTGGGTTCTTTTTTCTTTTAATTAAGTTTTTTAACAAGGATAATCACAAGTTTGTTCAATCTGTTAAGTTGCAACAGACCATTTGAAAATTTACCATTATCCTATAATATCTTTTCAAAACACGATGCAAACATTAGTTTCTGCAACTGGATTACCATATTACTATGTCATATTTGCATTATTAACTGATTATCTGAGCTGGTAATCTTGGCTGTGCTGCATTGGGTCAGTCATCTTGTTTACATATTTAGAGAAAAACATATGCATACCTATAAGCTGTACAAACACAGCTGGATTGTCCAGGTTTGTCTGGTCTCCATACTTCTTCAGAAAAAAGCATTTAACATCCTTGAAAAAACAACCAGGAGCTTAAACGACTTGCCCTCGGCTGGTGCCTACCAAAGCTGTTTAACTTTTTTGGTCAGGTCCACAGCGGCAGACTGTTTTTTTTTTCTTCTGAAATCAGTACAGCATGTCATAGAGCTAATCGAATTGAATTGAAACATTAACTCATGCACTGTTTTTTTTTCTTTTGCTTTGTTTCTTTCTCTACAGGCACCCATAAATTTGTGACAGAGGGGGAGCACCTGATGCTCACAGCCATCACCAAAGAACAGTCGGGATCTTATGAATGCATTGCATCTAATGACAACTCAAGCCCGGATGTCAGGACAGTGCAAGTCACCGTCAACTGTAAGGGCCAGGCTATCACACTCTCAGGCTATATAGGACATCAAAGGGTGGGAGGGTGCAGAGTGAAACTAACACTGAGTGAGGACAGTTGAGGGCACAATTTCAATTTGAAGAAACAGTCATATGAAAATATATGACTGGTATTTTTTTGTTTTCCAGATCCTCCCTTCATTTCTAAAGCAAGGAGTACAGGCACTTCAGTTGGACAAAAAGGAATTCTGCAATGTGAAGCCTCTGCTGTCCCAAGGGCAGATTTTGAGTGGTACAAAGAAGACCGCAGGCATGTTTCTTCCCTGAGCTTTATGATTTTGACATGCTCTGAATATTTTGACCTCAGTATTACAGGCTTACAAACACATATGTTCTGCTGTACGCTGTGGTCTTAATTCATTCGACATGATCTTTGCTGAAAGTAATGATGTTCACTCATATCACTGTTTAAAATCATGTTTTTGAGATAAGATAACTTGTGCCCTGCATTCTTCTATCAGTGGACTACATCAAAATTTAATCACACTATTAGAAAAAACAGTTAGTTAGATAATTTGCACAAAGTCATGGTTACCAAAGGAAAATTATTTGGGGTGGCTGTAGCTCAGGTGGCAGAGCAGGTCAGGCACTAATCAGAAGGTCCGTGGTTCAATCCCAGGCTGCCTTCTGGCTGCATGCCAAATATCCTTGGGCAAGATACTAAATACTGGTGGTCAGAGGGTCTGGTGGCGCCAGTGTCCGGCAGCCTCGCCTCTGTCAGTGCGCCCCAGGGCAGCTGTGACCACAATGTAGCTTGCCATCACCAGTGTGTGAATGGGTGGATGACTGAATGTAGTGTAAAGCCCTTTGGGGTCCTTAGGGACTAAGTAAAGCGCTATACAAATGCAGGCCATTTACCATTTATTTGTTTCTCTATGATTAGTTTATGTCAGTAGGGTGCTGGGCTCAAATGTTTAGATAATAATCTAATATAAAGTAGCCTTTTCTAACTGATGACTTGAAACTGGAAATACATTTATGAGAAGAGTAAATACAAACAATGGCTATGGTGACTGTTAAATGGTCCCTGAGAGTGACAGCAGCATTTCCTGTCCCTATAAGATGAAATAAGTAGTGATAGAGAGGAGTGATAAAATAAATGTAAAAAAAACAGCGAAACTGTAGAAAAGAAACAGGAAATGAAATGTGGGAAATGGATGGCGGGCTTTTAAACAAATACATCCTGTCACGGCTGCAGTGGCAGATGAGTGAAGTTATAAGAGATGGACCCAAGTGCAGGCACTGGCATTACTGTGAGTGAGCTTTATTTTCAAACAGTGATAATACAAACAGAAGCAGACATGGCAAGGAAAGAAAATAAGAAAGACCTAAACCAGGAAAACTAACTAAATAAACCTGAAACCATCAAACGTTGCTAGAACATGGGGGATGACACACAGAATGATACACAGACGGACGACAACGAGCAAAGGTGAGCACGCACTATGGCTGTATCCCAATTCAGGGTCTGCAGCCTTGGAGGACGCAGCCTTCGCTGTCTACATGGGCTGCGTCCTTGAAGGCCGAGAAGGCGGGAAATATGAGGCTTGTGAAATCGAAAGGTCTATCCTCTGTCATGATACTAACCGCTGCAAACATTTCATACAGCATTGTTTCACAGAAATGAAGAAAAGAAATAGAGAGTTCATTTGTTTGTTTGTTTTTACATGACGTTTGTTTGATTTGAATAAGTATTTGAGGCTGAGACCACGGAACTGTAATATGAACGTTGTGCTTCTTTTCTGTACTGACCAGCAATGTTCCCTCTAAGCTACGCACGTGCGCAATTGCGCACTACTGGCACGGTCTCTGCAGACAGAAAATCTGCATTGCGCACAAAAAAAAACATCAAACCTGAATTGAAATTAAAATTAATACTTTAACAATTCTGTTTTGCAGTGTTAGTCAGTAAGTGACTGGCTGTTCCTGTATGGGATTAGAACGATGCCCCCTTATCCCACAGTCCAGTGGCGTGGCTGATGTGAAGTGAAGCCACATTAATGACAACGTGTACAACCATTGGAGATGTGAGCAGGACAGACAGAACAATTAACGGAAAAAGTGTGGATTTTATACCAGTTTTTAAATTGTGTTGATAGGCCACGTAAAATCGGAGTTATGATAAAATTATATGCAATTTTTGGTTTTCTTCCTGAATACTATCGTTGTTTATATTTTTACTGCGGGAAGAAATGGTAAAAACTGTGTTTTATCAGGAAAATGCTCAAAAGCACTCTCCGCCTATGACCAAAAACAACACCAAAAATCCCCCACCCTTTCCTATTGGTCGAAAAATGTACCATGTCGACCAATCAAAAAATGATATGGCAACATGGCATTTAGTTGTTTAGGAAAGGGGGAAGTTTTAGACGGCTGTGTTTTGAGATGTGAGAGATTTGCTCGGAGGAGGAACCAACTCCTCCTCCGGGCTCGGAGGAGGAACCAACTCCTCCTCCGGGCTCGGAGGAGGAGCCAACTCCTCCTCCGGGCTAGGAGGAGGAGTTGGCTGTCCGATTGGGGTCTGGAATGTGGGGCCTCCCTGCTGCTGCCGAGTCGGGGCAGTCAGCTTCTCTCCACCCCAGGGAAAAGGGTAACACTACCTGGGTCTGGGTGCAGTTTCCCCCTCCAGGGGCAAGGGTACCTAGACCTGACCTGGGGCTTAGAGTACGCTTGGGGAGTGTGATTGTGT